AAAAATGGAGGGGCCAAACAGGGATAAAAAGGGGAAAGGGACTACAATGGATCAGGGAATAAAATTTTTAGGAAGACGCAGGGGGTGTTTATGGTACGGGCGAGGTTTTAGCGGGGGGGCACCTGTGACCAGCGGGGGTCCCCCCCAAAAGGGGGCAGTCCCAGGACCCGTGCTGTTTTTGGGTTTTTTGACGACATGACGGAAGGAAAAAGACTCTGAGGTGTCCCCGGTTTTTCAGGGTGACGGGGAAGTTGTTTAGAAAAATTCACTCGATCGAAGACCAGGCAGAACTACAAAGGGATCTGGACAGGCTGCAGACCTGGTCCAGCAATTGGCTCCTTGAGTTCAATCCCACCAAGTGCAAAGTCAGGAAGATTGGGGAAGGGCAAAGAAGACCGCAGACGGAGTACAGTCTAGGGGGCCAGAGACTACAAACCTCACTCAAGAAAAAAGATCTTGGGGTGAGTATAACACCAGGCACATCTTCTGAAGCGCACTTCAACCAAATAACTGCTGCAGCATATGGGCGCCTAGCAAACCTCAGAACAGCATTCCGACATCTTAATAAGGAATCATTCAGGACCCTGTACACCGTGTACGTTAGGCCCATATTGGAGTATGCGGCACCAGTTTGGAACCCACACCTAGCCAAGCACGTGAAGAAACTAGAGAAAGTGCAAAGGTTTGCAACAAGACTAGTCCCAGAGCTAAGAGGTATGTCCTACGAGGAGAGGTTAAGGGAAATCAACCTGACGACACTGGAGGACAGGAGAGATAGGGGGGACATGATAACGACATACAAAATATTGAGAGGAATTGACAAGGTGGACAAAGACAGGATGTTCCAGAGATTGGACACAGTAACAAGGGGACACAGTTGGAAGTTGAAGACACAGATGAATCACAGGGAAGTTAGGAAGTATTTCTTCAGCCACAGAGTAGTCAGTAAGTGGAATAGTTTGGGAAGCGATGTAGTGGAGGCAGGATCCATACATAGCTTTAAGCAGAGGTATGATAAAGCTCACGGCTCAGGGAGAGTGACCTAGTAGCGATCAGTGAAGAGGCGGGGCCAGGAGCTCGGACTCGACCCCCGCAACCTCAACTAGGTGAGTACAACTAGGTGAGTACATACACACACACACACACACACACACACACACACACACACACACACACACACACACACACACACACATATACACACACATACACACACACACACATACACACACACACACATACATACACACACACACACACACACGCACACACACAAGACTAATCTAGCAACAATAAACCCAGGAGGAATTCAAGGCAAGTCACTACAATGGGTTATGGATTTTGTTGAGAATGAAATTCCGAACAGACATAAAATTAAATAATCCCTTTCAGTGGGGCCCCCCAAGGGTCTGTACTTACCTGAACCCACAGCTTCAGGAAGTGATAGGGTCCTCGAGGCAGGGAGGAAATACCGTATTTACCGGCGTATAAGGCGCGCTTTTTTCACCACAAAAATCTTGGAAACTCAGCCTGCGCCTTATATGCTCAAGTGTCATGTGGGTTCGATAACGTGGATGGGGTAAAAATACTCACGCAAGCTGGTTAGTACGTATAATTATAACGGAAAGTATGGGAAACACCATCAGCCGACCTGTCTCTCTCTGCTCCCTATCTCAGACTGACCCACCAGTGCCTAGCGGGTGAACGGCATTCAAAAACATGCTATGGTCAGCAGCAACGTGAATAACAGTCAGTGATTCACACAGATGGTTGGTAGTGAGTCATCTGCTGGTAACTGGTTACTGGTAACTGGTACTGAGACAAGGTCAGGGTCAAAACTAGGCTTTGTGTTACACTTTAGCAGTTGTTTACTAACGTTACGTTACAACTGCTTGGTAACATCGTCTTATATGTCTCATATGCTCGTGCGCCTTATATGCCGGAAAATACGGTAAATCCAATCACCATCAGTAAAGAAATGAGGCCAAGAGCTGTGACTCAACCCTTTGCAACCACAAGCCAGTAGGTTGACTACTAGAAACTAAGCGCTTAAGTACTTGACGTTCCCCTCCATGATACACATCCAGATGTTAGAGAAGATCATGCTGAGTGTCTCACTTCAAGGACCTCACCTGGAGGTTCTCACTTTGAGATCCTCGCTTGGAGGGTCTTACTTTGAGGTCCTCGCTTGGAGGGTCTTACTTTGAGGGCCTCGCTTGGAGGGTCTTACTTTGAGGTCCTCGCTTGGAGGGTCTTACTTTGAGGGCCTCGCTTGGAGGGTCTTACTTTGAGGTCCTCGCTTGGAGGGTCTTACTTTGAGGGACTCGCTTGGAGTGCTGCAAGTTTGCAACCCTCACCACCACAGAAACTTCTTCCACGACCAGCAGAGAAGTTAAGCAACCTCATGTGTGGCTAGTGTTTGGGTGGCCACCGTGGAACAACAAATATTGCTGGCATACGTTTACAGGTTTGGTCTGGGACCGAGTCGCGGGGGCGGTGCTCCCCAGAATCAGCTACAGGTAACCTTCCATTTAGCGTGCACTGCTGTCCCAACTTAACTTTCTCACTCTAGTATCTAAGGTAATGGTGGACGGTACCGCAAGAACATATGGATACACAAAAGGCCTAGGAACTAGGCTCCTCAATTGTTTACAGGAGTACATATAGATTTGTATCTACAGTTGACTTATCTATTGTTAGAAAATTTAGGAAATTTGTTTAATATATCTGGTATCTTATTTTCATCAATAAGACAGCTTAAAAGTCACACTGAAATCCGATCATGTCGGGCCGATTTAATTGCATATATTTATTTTCTATCCTGCTGGTCAGACCTTGTTAACGTTGCCACACCGTCATACACTGGACTGGACCTGACGACAGTATACAGAACTGGCCTTCACTGGGACAACGTGTCTTTCAGGGTAGAGATTCATAAGGAGAAGTTATTCCATGAAATAAAGAACGCTGTTGTTGGTTAAGGCATCAGATTGAGCCAGGAACAACTCAAAGGTTTTGTTTCATTATTATTGTGTCTCTCACAATTTCAACTAGTCTGTAAAATTAATTGTGCATTTATTCTGTGTTTGGTTTCTTCTTCTACGTTTTGGTCTTATTATCTTCTCCCAGTTAAAGCCTTTTATCAATATTTCCTGCCCAAAATGCCCTGCATAACAAAGGGTTATATATCTGTCACTTACCATACCGCACAATATACCATTTTATAGAAATAATGTCGACTAGCGAGACACTTAGGCAACATTTGGATATCGTTATTCTGGAAACTGCCAGATGGCGAAATGTTGCAAAAGTCTCTTATTTATCAACTTGTCGGTTTTCTAAACTATTTGTAGAAATAAAGCTGTTTGTTTTTGTTTATTTGTTCATGAGCAGAGGTGAGAACACCTCGCCTCCACATCCACACTAGAATGTTTTCAACCGAGTCAGGCGCAGTGTACACCTGACGACCTACGATTGTTTATTTTCAACCGAGTCAGGCGCAGTGTACACCTGACGACCTACGATTGTTTATTTTCAACCGAGTCAGGCGCAGTGTACACCTGACGACCTACGATTGTTTATTTTCAACCGAGTCAGGCGCTGTGTACACCTGACGACCAACGATTGTTTATTTTCAACCGAGTCAGGCGCAGTGTACACCTGACGACCTACGATTGTTTATTTTCAACCGAGTCAGGCGCAGTGTACACCTGACGACCAACGATTGTTTATTTTCAACTGAGTCAGGCGCTGTGTACACCTGACGATGTATCATTCCTTCCTTCAATCAGAAGGAAGCTCTAAGCCTGTATGGGCCATATATTGCGCCTGGGTAATGGGTGGTATTCGGGCTGGATCCTAGGAAACGGAGGACAAGTCCAGGGCCTTGAATCAAGAGCCCTTCCCCAGAGTCAGGGTAAAGATCGTACCAAGACCGAGTTGACCAGAATTGATAAAAGGGAAGCGCCAAACCCTCACTCGTAGGGGGAGGATCCTTTTGTATTTATCTGTAACACACTGTCAACCCACAATCTATTCTGTATGTACCTATCAACACACACACACACACACACACACACACACACCCACACACACACACACACACACACACACACACACACACACACACACACACACACACACACACACACACACAATCTATTACACAAATGCTTCAAAAGTAATGATCAGTAAGTTAATGATCAGAAAGCGCTAAATCCGCAAGGATCAAAAGCAGCCTGGATAACGAGAGATGATCAGGTTTAATAAGAGGAAGAGGAGAGTATCTCTAACTCCCTGGATCAAGAGAGAGAGAGAGAGAGAGAGAGAGAGAGAGAAAGAGAGAGAATTAACATCAGTAGTATTGATTACCTTGATCTTGTTATTACGGCCTGAGGGTGAATTTCAAGGCCCCTCTTGTCTCCGCTATCAAGGCAGAGTTGGTATTAGGTGACCTTCTGAACCTTGACCTTTGACCTTGTATATTGTAAGCATAGTGCCTGAAGCTCCCTGTGATTACCTCTCATTGATGTTTCTGTGATTACGTTTGATGTGGAGAATTTTTATTAGAACGTGAGTGAACGTGAGTGAACGTGAGTGAACGTGTGAGTTCGTATATATACACCGTCATACAAGCTATAATACACACACATCAATAAGATAGTGTACATACACATACTCACGTCAGTGCTGCTCTTGCTACTACTACTGTTGCTTGTACTTCTAATACTATTACAACTATTCCTACTATTACTATTGCTGCTGCTACTAATTCTACTACTACTACTATTACTACTACTACTGAAGCTGCTGCTTCTACTTCTAATACTACTTCTGCTACTATTTTTACAACTACTATTACTACTACTACTACTACTACTACTATTACTAATAATAATAATAATAATAATAATAATAATAATAATAATAATAATAATAATAATAAAGTATTACCTCACAAACACATTTAACAAGGTTGTTTGCTGTCTTGGTTGTTGCAGAACTGTTGTGACAAGCTGTGTGACGGAGCCTCTATACTGTGGTGTATGGTGTGTGACTGCTCCTGCTGCCACTGTGACCTCTGCTGTCTGCTCTGCAGGATCTGCGTCGCCCTGTAGCTAGTCTGCTACTGTCTACTTCTGCTGCACACCACCACAAGTCCTACGCTGTCTGCTGTCAACCTACTCAGCAGACAGCCAGGAGAGAGAGAGAGAGAGAGAGAGAGAGAGAGAGAGAGAGAGAGAGAGAGAGAGAGAGAGAGAGAGAGAGAGAGAGAGAGAGAGAGAGAGAGAGAGAGAGAAATAAAAGCAGATACATAATAATATTTTATCTAACAATAGTTACTGTCTCTGATTTTCCAGAATTGTTCGTCTGTGTTCCCAAAACTTCACCAAATTATCTAAATCCTGATATAAACTTAACATAATATAAACTTAACATAATATAAACTTAACATTCTGTAAATTTTACATAATGTCAACAATGTGTGTGATTGTAAGAGAGATAAATAAATGACAGGAAATCTAATGACAATCAGACAAATAGTCAGTCAGACAATGAAACCTTTAACTATTATTATTTATTATTATTATTATTATTTTTATTATTATTATTTATGAGGGTAGCGCTAAACTCTTAGGGGCCATACAGAGCAAGGGACATGGGATGGCAATCAGATTCACCCCAATTCATTGGCTCAAGAGCCCTTGAGGGTCATGTGGAGCAGATCCGACTTTAGTACAGTGATGTGTGGCTCCTACGGATTTACCGCTCCCCCGTTAAAACAATATTAATAATGATCAGCTGTAGTACAATATCTTGTACTTGACACCAAGCTTGGTACAATATGTTGTACTTGACACCAAGCTTGGTACAATATCTTGTACTTGACACCAAGCTTGGTACAATATCTTGTACTTGACACCAAGCTTGGTACAATATCTTGTACGTGACATCAAGCTTGGTACAATATCTTGTACTTGACACCAAGCTTGGTACAATATCTTGTACTTGACACCAAGCTTGGTACAATATCTTGTACTTGACACCAAGCTTGGTACAATATCTTGTACTTGACACCAAGCTTGGTACAATATCTTGTACTTGACACCAAGCTTGGTACAATATCTTGTACGTGACATCAAGCTTGGTACAATATCTTGTACTTGACACCAAGCTTGGTACAATATCTTGTACTTGACACCAAGCTTGGTACAATATCTTGTACTTGACACCAAGCTTGGTACAATATCTTGTACTTGACACCAAGCTTGGTACAATATCTTGTACTTGACACCAAGCTTGGTACAATATCTTGTACTTGACACCAAGCTTGGTACAGTATCTTGTACTTGACACCAGCTTGTTATACACTGTCAGAGAGTGTGACACAGTATACCTTGTACTTCTCTTGTGGCAGTCAGCCCCCTTAATAACAGTCGATATATCACTGTTACTAAGACAGTCAAACGGATGACTTAACGAGCCTCAAAACAGTGATTATCTAACGTGGAAACTTGATCTAGGCGCCGCAAGTCCTTCTATGTTCGCTCCTCAGAACTCTTCATCGCCTTCATCTTATATTTAATTTACTGGCGTTGTGGTGTTTCATAACTTGTTAAGTTTTTGTTAACGGAGGCCGATATAACCTAAGTAAACCCTGGAGGACACACCATAGTGGAAGGCAGAGGTGTGGCTAACCTCCAGTATCAGAAGGTATTGCCTAAATTTTGATGTTATCAGTAACGGCTTGAGCATCAGTATCCATAAAGGGATTTTTGGTATCGTTCCATCAATTACTACTACCAGATTATATATATATATATATATATATATATATATATATATATATATATATATATATATATATATATATATATATATATATATATTAAAAGTAATGCAGATATAACCGCGTTCTCTCTTTCTTTTTGTCTGTCTGTCTGTCTGTCTCTCTCTCTCTCTCTCTCTCTCTCTCTCTATCTATCTGTCTATCTATCTGTCTACCTATCTATCTCTCTATGTTTATCTCACACTGAGGGTGATAATCAATAAGGAAAGTATGACAGTCTTAATATCTCTAGTATGATAAATAAGAGTTGACTCTAACAAACTATCTTACACTTCTCCAGGAAGAGTTATGACGCTCACGTAAAGCTCTTGATTAAGTAATTGGAGCTGTACTTCATTCCCTTGGGTCATACCTCATTAACCCGCACTCCACGGTCGCTTTACGACCTCTACACGTTTATGTTAGGATAATAATAATAATAATAATAATAATAATAATAATAATAATAATAATATTATTATTATTATTATTATTAAGAACATAAGAACATAAGAAAGAAGGAACACTGCAACAGGCCTACTGACCCATGCGGAGCAGGTTCCTTTCCCCTCCCCCCCGGATTAGCTCAGTGACCCACCCAGTCTGGACACCTCCACTCAAGGAAGGAGGACGGCACCAGACCCAGCAGCATAAGCTAGTCAGGTCCAACTCACACCCACCCATGTATTTATCTAACCTATTTTTAAAACTACACAACGTTTTAGCCTGAATAACTGTACTCGGGAGTTTGTTCCACTCATCCACAACTCTATTACCAAACCAGTGCTTTCCTATATCCTTTCTGAATCTGAATTTTTCCAACTTGAAACCATTGCTGCGAGTCCTGTCTTGGCTGGAAATTTTCAGCTATTTACATCCCCTTTATTTATTCCTGTTTTCCATTTATACACCTCGATCATATCCCCCCTAATTCTACGCCTTTCGAGAGAGTGCAGATTCAGGGCCCTCAGTCTATCCTCATAGGGAAGGTTTCTGATACATGGGATCATCTTTGTCATCCTCTGTACGTTTTCCAGAGCATTTATAGCCATTCTGTAATACGGTGACCAAAACTGAGCAGCATAGTCTAAATGAGGCCTAACCAAGGATATATAGAGTTGAAGAACAACCTGAGGACTTCTATTATTTATACTTCTAGATATGAAGCCAAGAATTCTGTTAGCTTTATTGCAAACACTAATGCACTGTTGTCTTGGTTTTAGATTACTGCTACCCAGAACTCCTAAATCCTTTTCGCAATCAGTAGTATTAAGATCTACATTATTTAGTTTATATGTCGCATGGCTATTTTCCTGTCCAACACTTAGGTATTACATTTGTCTACATTAAACTGCATCTGCCACTTCTCCGACCATTGCATTGTGAACAACAACGGGCCCAACACTGACCCCTGTGGAACACCGCTTGTGACGTGCCCCCATTCTGATTTCTCCCCATTTATGCAAACTCTCTGCTGCCTATTTGTCAGTCATGCCTCTACCCAGGAAAAAATTTATCCTCCTATTCTGTGATCCTTAAGTTTCCTCAATAGCCTCTGATGTGGAACTCTATCGAAAGCCTTACTGAAGTGCATATACACAATACCATATTCATTACCATGATCTACCTCCTCAAACACCTTAGTGAAAAAAGTTAGTAAATTCGTAAGACAGGAACGCCCCTTTGTAAAACCGTGTTGAGATTCATTAATCAATCTGTGCCTGTCAAGATGGCTACGAATTCTTCGGCATTTATTGATTCCATAAATTTTCCCACTATGGAGGTAAAGCTTATTGGTCTATAATTCGAAGCCAAGGACCTGCCACCTGAATTGTATACAGGTATTACATTTGCCATTTTCCACTTATCAGGCAGTATGCCAGTTTGGTAAGAATGGTATATAATACCGACAAGATGAAATTAAGACACATGTGCAACATCTGGGTATCTTTATTGTAGACGTTTCGCCATCCAGTGGCTTTATCAATACAAATTCTAGGACATAACTTGAAGACAGTAGAACTATATACAGAAGATGAGGTAATCAGTCCCTCAACCTAGGAGTAGGTGCGAAGAGCACCATAGTCGTGGAGATTCTGAAGCAGAAGAAAGGAGCCTGGCGCTTATATAGTAACGTCAGGTGTAGCAGACGAGGGCATAGTCACTGGTAGGCGGAATTCCCCAGTGGAAGTAGGTCCTTCCCAAAGAGATGGGTTAGTTGTAGTAGTAGTTGTCGTAGCCGTGAAGGTTATGTACATGTCCTCAGAATCAAGATTCCATGATGTTGCAGTGTCTGACAAGTTGTGTAAGAATGGTATATAATACCGACATCTCTTTGGGAAGGACCTACTTCCACTGGGGAATTCCGCCTACCAGTGACTATGCCCTCGTCTGCTACGCCTGACGTTACTATATAAGCGCCAGGCTCCTTTCTTCTGCTTCAGAATCTCCACGACTATGGTGCTCTTCGCACCTACTCCTAGGTTGAGGGACTGATTACCTCATCTTCTGTATATAGTTCTACTGTCTTCAAGTTATGTCCTAGAATTTGTATTGATAAAGCGAAACGTCTACAATAAAGATACCCAGATGTTGCACATGTGTCTTAATTTCATCAGTATGCCAGTTTGTAGTGATATGTTAAAAAGATTAGCCAAAGGTATGCTAAGTTTCTCTTTACATTCCTTTAACACCTTGCAAACAGCTCATCAGAGCCTGGGGATTCGTTAGGTTTTAGTTTCTCTGTTTGTCTGAGGACCATGTCACTGGTTACTGCAATCGTGCATAGTTTATTATCGTCCTGTTCTACATAATCTGTTATTTCAGGAATATCGCTAGTATTTTCCTGGGTGAAAACTGAGAGGAAGTAGGTATTGAGAATTTCACACATATCCCTATCACTGTCAGTGATCTGACCAGAGTTACTCTTAAGTGGGCCTATCTTGTCCCTAATCTTACTTCTGTATACCTGAAAGAACCCTTTTGGGTTAGTCTTTGAATCCCTTGCGACCTTAGCTTTATAATCCCTTTTTGCTTTTCTTATTCCTTTCTTTATTTCTATCTTTAACTGAATATATTGATTTCGTAACTGCCCATCCCCTCTTTTGATATGCCTATATATGCCTCTCTTTTGACCAATGAGATGTTTTAATCTATTGTTCATCCATTTGAGATAATTTTTGTTAGATCTAATTTCCCTACTCGGAACAAAAGTTGTCTAGGCAGCTAGAACTATGCTCTGAAAAACGTCATATTGGCAACCAAGATCAACTACCTGACCCATAGTCAGGACATCCCAATTTAGCCCATCCAGGTAATTTTTCAGTCCCATGAAGTCGGCCAAGCGAAAATCTGGGACACAGATTTGATTGCAGTTATCTGGGTAAATCCATGATATATTGAAACTAAATGATTTGTGATCACTTTCCCCAAGCTCATCATTAACCTCAAGATTATTAATTAGTGAATCTTTGTTGGCAAGAACCAAACCAAGCAGATTGTTTCCTCTAGTTGGTTCTGTCACAAACTGTTTTAAAAAGCAATCCTGAACCGTATCAAGAACGTCACTAGACTGAAGATTTCCTGTCATATTGTTCCAATCAATTTGTCTGAAGTTAAAATCTCCCATTATCACAACATTTTCATATCTAGATGCCTTATGAATTTCGTCCCATAACAGCTTACTGCACTCCCTATCAAGGTTTGGGGGCCTATAAATCACACCCAAAATTAATTTGTCACGACCCTCGAGAAACTGTAGCCAAACAGATTCTGTGTTCGATGTTTCTAATCTTATATCATGTCTAAGACAACAATTTAAATTTTCTCTGACATACATCGCCACTCCACTACCCTTCCTGTTGACCCTATCAGTGTGGAACAGTTTATAACCCTGTATGTTACATTCAGAAGGCATTTCTCTATCTTTCAGGTTGAACCAGGTCTCTGTTATACCAATAATATCTATATTACCTACACTTGCAAGTAATCTTAGCTCATCTAACTTATTTCTTAAACTCCTACTATTTGTATAATAAGCCTTAAGGGAGCTAGTCACTCGTTGCCCTCTACTATCTCTCTTTGTTGATCAATTGATTTGCCTTTACTAGCAACTTTATTTGAATATTGTCTTTTAAACATATCCCTGAGGTATCCCGATAATAACTACTGTTTTTAACCCTAATACTGCAGCCGGATTGTTTCCCACAAACACCCATACCTCTATAATCTATCAGTTTAAATTCCTAGATGAGTCATCAATTACCCTCTCAATCGAATTGGCTAATGCAACCATTCCTTCCCCAGAGAGATGAACCCCATCCCTTGCATACATATCACGTTTGCCAAAGAATAGGTCCCAGTTATCAATGAATGGGTTTGCAAGTTCCTTGCAGTACCTGTCTAGCCAGCAATTTGTACCAGTTGCCCTAGACATCCATTCATTGCCCACTCCCTTTCTTAGCAAGATGCTACATATGACTGGGATCCCTCCCTTAGACCTAACTACTTCTATGGCTGACCTGCACTTATCCAGCAGCTCCTGTCTCCTGCCCTTCCCAATGCCATTACCCCCAGCACTAAGACAGATAATGGGCTTGTTCCCATTACCTGACATAATATTATCCAACCTGATGACTATGTCACCAACACCAGCTCCTGGAAGGCACACTCTCTGTCTGACCTTTCTGTCTCTGTTACAAAAAGCACGGTCCATATATTTTACCTGAGAATCACCTACTATTAAAATATTCTTACCTTGATTAGCAGGGGAATCAGTGGTACCTTCAACCTCAATGACCACTGAAGTGCACTCGTCCTGGAGAACAAAGAATCGATTTCCCACCTTCACATCTTCTCTGTTAACCCTCCTTATCTTCCTTCTTCCTGAACTGTGAACCACTTGCCACCTAAAGCGGCTGCCACTATCACTGCTAGTGACCATTTCCTCTTTACCAGCTAAACCCTTCTCACACT